CCTTGTAATCCATTTATTTCAACAAAATAACTATATTCTAATTATAACTTCATCACATCATTTAAATGGTAACTGTAATGAAATAAAGTTACTCATATTTTGTATTTTAAATACGTACATATGCCGGTACATGTATTCCGTTATTCCCCAACACTGACTATAACACTGTTGTTGGTGGCACCTTGTAGCAACAGATAAACATTTTATTGTTTCATATTAAAAATAATCACCTACATCTAATTCAAAATGAATGCTGAATATTCTGAAGTTTTTTTTCTGGATTATCCTCACACTGCTCAAGGAAGACTCCTCTGGATACAAAGGAATGTCTGATTCCCTAGTTCTCACTTGATTCATTGGCTCAGTAAACATTTTCCTTATTAGTTTATGGTTACGGCCACTAGCCATAACTCTTCTTTAGTACAGGGTGTTATACATTTTGTAAATCATGGTCCCCCGTTAGTGTCAAACAGACAATAAAGCTTGGTTTGCTTTCTGGGATGACTTTTGATAGACAAGTGCCTGACATATGAGCTTGCAGTGTCCTCAGTTTCTGATTCAGATCTACCCTTTGTTAATCACAAACTCACAAACTGCCTTAAAAGCAAGAGTTCAAAACTAAATTGAGATGTATATATTAAAATAGTGTAATTATGTGCAACTTTTTTTAAAAGTACAGGCTTTAAAAAGTTCTTGCTCTTCCGACTTCCACCATGTAGCCATTGTTAGAGAGGAAATATCCATCAAGCTGTATTAAAAGCTACAGGAAATAGGCTTTAAAACAGTACTTATGCATTCATCCATACACTTCCACTTCTCCAAATTCAGGCGCCTAGAGCCTATCCCAGCTGACCTTTCGTCAGTCTGTTGCGGTAATGTTTTATCACTGTTTTAACGTAATGTACTTTTACAAGTCTATAGCTGCTGTCATGTGCTGGGTTGTACTATGTACAGAGCTGAGAGTGAAAATACAAGGAACTTGCAAGCTTTGAAATATCTCCATTTGGACATTTATTTTTCAAGCATCTAGGTTGCTTATTTCAATTTAGTGGGCGTTTAATTTGTTTTATTGTTACCATTATTCCAGACCAAGGATGCTTCAAGTTTTGACAATCAAGCGATGATTTAGGGAGCCAGCATATTTGGGAGACCCACATGACAAATGTATTTTTATACTTTGTTACAGTATTTAAGTAACTCTAAAAGTTGGATTTCTTAAAATCACCTGTGTCAAATGTTAGAAATGGATAGTCTGCTTCAATGGGTGTACAGGAAATGCTTTTAAACGCCATTTCTTGGAAGTGATGTTGAAACAATTACAGGATATTTATTACAGGAGTGTGTACGTAATGTATTATTGTGGGAAGGCTTGAATTATACAGCTCTCTGAAGTTAGGAAGGTTGGCAATCGTTCTCTAGTGTATGTTTGATTATGTATGTGCATGTGTGTTGCAAGAGAGGAAAACAAATGACAGAAACCATCTGTGAATGGATCAACAAATCTGCAGGCAGGTCATGTTCAGGGGTATACACACGCACACACACACACACACACAAACTTTTCAACAACCTCCATTCTTCTACACACACCCCACACATACACACACACACACACACACACACACAGCCTTACAGAAAAGAAGGGAATTCCGATCCGTCACTGAGATGACATCACAGTCTCCAATAATAAGAAACAGTCAAACAAGGGAGTCCCCACTTCCCTCCTCCCTCATACACATCCCACAGAATGAACAGAGGGTAGAAAGAGTAGTGCTGGGCAGAGTGACTCTCATTAGCTCCCATAGAGAGAGTCCCTTTTAAGGGGTTCACATGCACACACGAGAACGCGCCGACATACGCACAAACACGCTTTAGTTGCATCTCCATAGCGACCAGCTCTGCTGTCCCAGCTTGGGGAGGAAACTGAGTGCTTTAAAGCTGCTACGACGCAAACACACACACACGCACACACATACAGCTCTGTTCTAATCCGTGTCCGGCCACGACGGAAAAACCTCTCCTCATCTTATCACCCGGCTACCTCCCTCTGTCACTTCTCTCCTCTCCCCGTCCAGCCCATATTTTCTTTGCCTTCAACTTCCACCCTCTCTCCCTCTCTCACATACCCTCCCCCTCTCTTTTTCTCCCTTTCACTATCTGTCTCTGTCCCTTACCCGTCTGATACAACAGAGGTAAGTGCTCTCGCTCGCTGTGTGCCTCTGGGTTTAATGTGCTTTAACTTTCAGTCTTTCAGTGCGTTTTCTCACAGTAGACTGAGGTGAGCTTAACTATCGGTGCTGCGGGTACTGTTGGTGAAGTAGGCAGAAAAACTGTTTTGTCCTGTACTCTGCCGGTAGGTGAGTTTCTGCTTTGCCAGCTGTCGTGCGCGCCTCGACAGTATCTGTCAGTTCGTTTGCCCTGGCATTAATCAAACAACCATGTGTGTGCTTGTATATGTGGGCTTGCTTTCATACTGGTATCTTATTCATCGATTTTCCATCGCAGTAGCTTTGTGACTACAGACAGCCTTTTATACCCTTTTTTTTGTCTGTTTTTGAAACTGTGCACTTAAAAGTGCATATTATCTGCTATAGCATCTTGACTTTATCCCATTAGAGCAATTGTGATAGCTCTATACTTCAGAGTACTTCAAGAGGAATGAGAACCAAAAAAGTAATATTTGATATCAAAATAATAACTAGCACATGTTGAAATCTTTAATCACTGTTTTCATACACTCTTGTGGGACTATAGCTATTGAATTAATAGGTCAGCCTTTCTTTGGTAGAGTTGTCTTTTTGATTATATCCAATTGTCCTTCTGTGTTGTACAAACAGTTCAAGTATTTCCACAATAATAGTTCTCTTTAAGTGCTTTTCATAGTGGATATCTGATCTTTCAGCCCATGTTAAATACACCAGTGAGATACCCTCTCTAATGTGCTGTGGCTGAAATAACAACTCCCCCTAAAATCAATGAACAGTCTGGCAACAATTTACAGACCCCAAATCAGAAAGCCCTTGGTTACAAAACACAACAAAACAATTAAATGCTCTTTCCAACACAGTTTCTCTCCAACATCCAAGCACACACATGCTGTGACATATGCCACATATGGAACCAAGAGTGGCTAAACACATACCTATTTAACAGTGTGTCCCCATCTTCCCCTTTTTACCCTCTCGCCTCTCCTCTCCTTCCTGTCTCTGTCTGTCTCTCCACCCACGCTCTCAGAGATGAAAGAGAAGAACCCCTGGCCTACGCCTGTGACCATCATCATCATTGTGATTGGTGTCATAGCGATTGTTGCCCTGGTGACGGTGGCGGTTTTGCAGAACAAACCTGTTCCCCAAAAGTACAAGGTAAAGTACTGAAATGTTGTGACCTGTTCCCTGTGTGGGAGTCAAATGTGTTACACAAGAATCTCAAGCCAAAGTCCACAAACCAAATAAGGCATCTTGTCAGTATATGACCTCAGCTTGTACAACCGGCTTTACAAATCCACCACCAAATATGGCCAGCGGATATCAACAATAACATTAAATCATCTCTTTAGTTACAGTTGCAGACCCAGGTTTGAGTCTCACAGCTGAAAGCATGGTCTAGTTTTTATAAAGTACTGTACTCCTAATTCACATGGATTGGTGCTACAGTTTTGGCAACATGTAGTTTATACAATTATTAACCTGATGTTAAATGTTTGCATGTAACTAATTAACTAGAATTCGTTATTTTTCTGCTCCTCCTCCAGTATGGGATTGTGCTGGACGCTGGATCTTCCCACACAGCTCTTTATATTTATCAGTGGCCAGCAGAGAAGGATAACAACACTGGCAGAGTTGAACAGACACACTCCTGCAAAGTCAAAGGTACTGTATATGTTGCACAAATACTCTCATATGACAGTGCAAACTTACATTTATGCATTAATATGTAGGAAATTGCATATGAATCTGCTTATTTACTGATATAGCTATTGGTGTTTGTGTATGTGCGTGTGTAAATTTGGTCATAAATGATATATTCCTGTTTAATAATGATTCCTTCTAAAAAGCTACAATTAAGTATAATTGTATTATACTATTTTCCTTAAGTCCAAGGTGATTCATTTTCTCTTCATCCAGTTTGAAATCTTATGCTCTTTTAAAGAGAACTGCAGGTCATCTGAAGCCAAAGACTGATCAGAATTTACATCTAGAGACTTGGTGGATTAGCATAGCCACTTACTAATTATTCATTAGCATTATTGAGTACACATTTGATAGTTCATTAAAAAGTCTCCACATTAAATTTCATATTAAATGACAAATGGCACTGGGCAACACCTTACTGAGTCAGCCATTGTTTCAAATGTTGTGTTAAGTCTATAAATGGATTTTGTTCAACTTCCCAGGACCACTATAGAAAAAAAATTGACAACAGATAACGCACTAATCAATTCAGACACTGCCTGAAAATGAGAAGCTGGAGTGTAGGTGGGTTGCAAAGTGGCTTGGAGATACACACCAACTGTAGGCAGATTAAGCAACCTGAATGGCACACCGTTTATGATTTATGATTTGTCACATACAGTGGCTTGCAAAAGTATTCGGCCCCCTTGAACTTTTCCACATTTTGTCACATTACA